CCAGAGAAATATCCTTATACCCTTCGCGTAAAAACTGCCAGCGCCATCTCCTTGCCTTCTGGCCTAAGACTGCAAGCGACAAATCCTCTCCCCCCCCCCCCCCTTACAACTGCCAGCGAAGTATCCTCACCTCCCTAGCTTTAAAACTGCGAGCGAAGTATCTTCAGGCCGCTGGCCTGAAACTGCCATCGAAATATCCCCGCGCCCCTCGCTTTAAACTGCCTGCGGAATATCCTCAAATCCCTGGCCTGAAACCGCCAGCGATGCATCCTCACCCCCTGGCCCGAAAGTGCCGGCGAAATATCCGCACCCCCTGGCCTAAAGTTGCCGACGACATGTCCTCACCCCCCTCACATAACATTGCCAGCCACATATCCTCACCCCCTGGCTTAAAGCGGCCAACCAAATATCCCCACCCCCCTGACCTGACACTGCCAGCGATGCATCCTCACCCCCTGGCCCAAAACTGCCGGCGGAATATATTCAAACCTTTGACTTTAAACAGCCAGCGATCCTCACCCCCTGGCCTAAGACTGCAAGCGACATATCCTCAACCCCCTGGCTTGAAACATCCAGCGAATATCCGCGCACCCTTCGTTTAAAACTGTCAACAACATATCCTCACCCCCTGGCCCAAACCTGCCAGCGAAAGATCCCCAACCCTCTGACTTATAACTAACAGCGAAATATCCGTACCCCCTGGCCTAAAACTGCCGACGAAATATCCTCAACCACCTCGCATGAAGCCGCCAGCGAGATACCCTCAACCCCTGGCCTCAAACTGCCAGCGACATATCCTCAACCCCCTGGCCTGAAACTGCCAGCGATGTTTCCTCACCCACTGACTTAAAGTGCAAGCGACATGTCCTCAACCCCATGGCCTGCAACTGCCAGAGAAATGTCTTTATACCCTTCGCTTAAAAACTGCCAGCGCCATCTCCTTGCCTTCTGGCCTAAAACTGCAAGCGACAAATCCTCCCCCCCCCCCGCTTGCAACTGCCAGCGAAGTATCCTCACCCCCTGGCCTTAAAACTGCGAGCGAAATATCCTCAGGCCGCTGGCCTGAAACTGCCATCGATCTATCCCCACACCCCTCGCTTTAAATTGCCTGCGGAATATCCTCACATCCCTGGCCTGAAACCGCCAGCGAAATGCCCTCACCTCCCTGACTTCAAACTGCCAGCGAAGTATCCGTACCCCCTGGCCTAAACCGCCGGCGGAATATCCTCGACCCCGTCATGAAATCTGCCAGCGAAATATCTGCCCCCCGGAAATACACTTGCCATCTAACGGCTTTGGTGATTCAGTTGTTCTGTCAGTTTTGTCAGTCTACGTACCGAAAATCAAATTACGGGCTGCGGCCGTACATCATTACTGGGCAGGACGACTGCACGTTTGAGGGTGCACGGAATCGGTTGGGGATCCCCTGAGCAGCAATCTAATTGCTATTGCCGCACTCCCTCCCCCTCCCATTTCTATTTTCCTCTCCGCCCGCCCCGTGCTCTTTCCCCTACCCGTCGCCCATTCGAAGACACAGGCTCGACAAACCCATCGGTTTCTGAAACCATGTATTTCTGGAGCGTCAGATCCCAGTCCATTCCGGAGCCCTCCTATTTCAATGGGCAGGGCGGCGTTCCCTCCACACTCGTCTTTCCGAGGGGTGGGGGCGGGCGCAGATCCACCATACAGTCGGAGCGCTGAAGAAGGAACGCTATTCGTCAGGGAGGGGCTCCGTTCCCCTTATTTGTTTCCGCAGTTTGCCTCGGGTGTTCCTGTTGTTCATTTAGGGTTCCTTGGGTCAACGCGGCGTCTGCACTTCCAATCCTTTCCTGCTCCATGTTTCTAGCAATTTTTGCCGACCTGCTGGAATCCACCGCTGGGGGCTCGTTGCCCCAGGTCCCCGCGCGCGGAAATCCTCGGGCCACCCCTTCCCGGGCGGTGCGCGCGTGCGACTTCCGGCATCGGGCTGCGCATTCCCCGTCCTGGGGTTAAATCGGGCTTGTCTACAGGAGGAAGATTCAAAATATTACAAAATTGTTTGGGGATTGTTTTTGATTATATTTGGTGTGTTTATCATTATTCGGCGTAAATCCGCTGTAGGAGGACATGCCCGACCTAATCCCAGAGGGCTGCCATCAGTGTCCTTGTCCCCGGGTGCCCCGGGCCCGGGCTTCTTTCACCACCCACCAAACCACCCCCAAACCCAACCCGAAGGGCTCAATTTGCCCTCCATTTCCAGTGGCTGAGGGGGTTGAACAAAAACACATGTGGAACCCGTACCCCCCTCCAACCCGCAATTCGGGTCAGATTCGTGTCTTCGGGTTGGGCTGGGGTGGGTTTGGTCCTCGGGGGCTGCCATCGGTGTCCTTGTCCCCGGGCGCCTCGGGCCCGGGTTTCCTCGGGGAGAGCCCCGCAGCAGCCGTCTCGATCTCCCCGATGCGCATCGATTCGGCTCCGAGGAGTTCGATCTCGATCCGAGTCGGCTCCGAACTCCGACTTCGGTCGGGCCGCTGGGCGCCGATTGGGATGCCATCCGATCTGCCTGCCGATTGTCCGCCGCTGGCGGCGCACTTCAGTTGCCGAGTCGGTGCTGCGGCTCGACACTGGATCGTTCTGCCCACGGCCTCCAGAAAGGGAGGAGGAGGAGGAGGAAGAGGAGAAGGAAGATAATAATAATAATACTAATACTAATAATGATAATAAGAATAATAATAATACGAATAAAAATGCGAATCATATTAATAACAATGATAATAAGAGGAACCATATGAATAATAATAGAATACGAATAATAATGATGACAATACTCAGCATCATGATAATAATAATGATAATAACAAAAGTAGTAATCACAATAAGAATAATAATAAGAAGAAGAAGAAGAAGAGGAGGAGGAGGAGGAAGAGGGAGGGGGGGAGGTAGGAGGGAAGGAGGGAGGAGGAGAGGAAGGGGAGGGCCTTTCGCGAGGGAGGGAGGAGGGAGGAGGGTGGAGGGTGGAGGAGGAGGGAGGAGGGAGGAGGGTGGAGGAGGAGGGAGGAGGACGTAGGATGAGGAGGGAGGAGGGTGGAGGAGGAGGGAGGAGGACGTGGGATGAGGAGGAGGAGGAAAACCTTTCGCGAGGCCCAGAGGCCACTAGTCATCAGTCACCGAGCGCGTCCCACTACTCGCAGGGTGCCTACTCGCAAACGTCCGAACAAAAATCATGTTATCCTCCATGCAATGGGTCGTAAATCCTCCTCGGCGGAGCCAGGCCTTTTGCGAGTAATTACTCCGCGAGTAGTGGAACGCGCTTGTCTAACCAGGGACTCCACAACGGAGCCAAACGCGGGGGAGACCCTGGGCCAGGACCACTTGTCGGCGATCGGCGTTCGATCCTTACCCCTGCTGCTGCTCCCCAATCTGGGTGCCGGGGGGAGCACGGCATGGATCAACGACCTCGGCTTCAGATGGCAATGCTCTATCCATGCCGCCACGCTGGCCCCTCGGGACTGGGCGTAAAGAGGAGCATTGCTGAGGCGTCGATCGCCGAATGTCTAGCAACACCTGATTCGAAGCTGGAGCAGTGGATCTGGCGCAGATGGGTCGGCCGCGACAGGTGCAATCGTTCGTTAGTTTTGAAGTCTTGCGTGCAATGGTACGCAGCTATTGTGTGTGTGGGGGGGGCGCGAAGCACTGCACGGGCGACAACCGTTACGTGTGAAAAAAGCGGTGGCACTGCATCCACGCGCAATTATCGCGTCCTGCGCGCACATGACTGCATCAAGGCACCAACTACTGCAAGTGCTGTAGCACCTTTCCCCGCGGATCCATCTGCGTCAGGTCCATTGCTCCGGCTTAAACCGTCGGCGGCGCGCCCGGGGGAAGTGTGAGGGGGCGGTCATTGTCAGAAGGCTCGGAAGTCCTCCAGCCTCCTGAGAAGTTCTTTGCGCTCTCCTCGAAGGCACAGAACACTTCTCAGAAGGCCGGAAGCCTTCTGAGATTGGGCCTCCCGGCGACGCCCCCGGCGCCGCCCCTGGCGCGTTCCGCGCGCCAGGGAGGGGCCCGGGAGGGGCCTCCAGCACGAATCCAAGAAATCCGCGCAGAGCGCCAACAGTTTTTGTTCATTTTGTTTTTTTCTTCTAGAACGTGAGAAAAAAACATTGGCTTGTCTCCTACCTCTTGTGGAATATGTCATAGATCCACCGCGGCGGATCGAGGGCTTTTGAGAGCAGTTGCCCTGCGAGTCGTGGAACGTGCTTGTCCAGAGGCAGGAGGAAGCGTTGATGATGATGATGATGATGATGATGGTGATGATGATGATGATGATGATGATGATGGTGGTGATGGTGATGGTGATGGTGATGATTATGATGATGATGCTGCGGATGATGATGGTGGTGATGATGATGATGATGGTGATGGTGATGTTGATGACGACGATGATGATGCTGATGTTGATGCTGATGCTGATGCTGATGCTGCTGCTGCTGCTGATGATGATGCGGATCATGATTATGGTCATGATCATGATGCTGATGCTGATGCTGATGCTGATGACGATGCTGCTGCTGATGATGATGAGGATGAGGATGAGGATGAGGATGATGATGATGATGATGATGATGATGATGATGATGATGATGATGATGATGATGATGATGATATTGATGATGCTGATGATGATGATGCTGATGATGATGCTGATGCTGATGCTGATGCTGATGATGATGATGCTGATGATGATGATGATGATGATGATGCTGATGATGATGCTGATGCTGATGCTGATGCTGCTGCTGATGCTGATGCTGATGCTGCTGCTGCTGCTGCTGCTGATGATGATGATGATGATGATGATGATGATGATGATGATGATGATGATGATGATAGGAGGAGGAGGAGGAAGAGGAGGAGGAGGAGGAGGAGGAGGAGGAGCATGAGGAGGAGGTGGAGGAGGTGGCGTCTGCCCAGGCTGAAGCTGGCCTTCCCCGCCGCCCGCCCGCCCGCCCGGGGCCGCGGAGGCGAACCAGACGGCCGCGGCGGCTCCCGCGGCCCCGCGGTGAGCCGCCCCTGCCGCGCGCCCGCGGTCGGTCGCGGCGTCCGAGCGGCGGCGCGCCGTGCGGGTCCATCACCGGGGGCAGCCAAGAGGGGGATGAGGATTCGTCGACGACGACGCCGACGAGGACGACGAGGACGACGACGAGGTCAACGACGATCGGCGGCGGCGGCGACGACGGCGGCGGCGGCGGCGGCGCGCCGTACGGGTGCACGATCGGGGGGGTGTCAGGCTGCCATTCCTACGAGGCCACAGTCCGTATCGTTACTCGTAACCTCAGGATTTTTTTTGTTCGACCCCCCCTGATCCCATCGGCGGTGTGAAAACTGTCCCTTAAAACTTCATCGTCGCGGCGGAGATTATCCAATCGCTTCGCTCACTCCGCCGGCCCGTATTGCATGATCGCTACTGCTTCGGCGCGGGCTCGGAGCTATTTCGGCGCCGCCGGAAGGAGGAAGATGAGGATGGAGAGGGGGAGCGGAGGAGGAGAAGAGGATGAGAAGGAACGGAGGAGGATGAAGATAAATATGAGAGGAGGAGGAAGAGAAAAGGGCGGAGGAGGAAGCCTCTCGATGGCATCTTGCGGCGCTCTTGGGGCCAAACAGGGCCGTCATCCAGATGCTTCTTTGGGAGGCCCTGGGGTCTGTTGAGAGGCCGTTCGGGGGCGCCTGGGTGACATTTTTGAAGCCTTGTAGGGCCTCTTTTGAGCCTCCTTGTAGCGTCCTGGGGTCTCTTGGGGGCCTCTTGGCGGCATCTTGGGCCATCTTGGGGGCCTCTCGGGGCCTCCTGGGGCCCTCTTGGGGCGGAAGGCTTGAGGTTTCGGTTCGTGGTCCCCATCTTGGGCCCCTCTTGGGGCCGTCTTGGGGCTCTCTTGGGCCGTCTTGGTCGTCTCTTGGGCCGTCTCGGGGCCCGTTTGGGCTCTCTGGGTGCCTTCTTGGGGGCCTCTTGAGCCGTCTTCGTGCGCTCTTGGGGGCCTCTTGGGCCGTCTTGGAGCATCGGAAGACCGAAAATGCGACAAGGCGTAAATCATTCCACAACCATCTTAATATTGATGATTTTGGCCTCTCGGGGCGCTCTTGTGAGGCCTCTTGGAGGCCACTTTGAGCGTCTTGGCGGCTTCTTGGGCCGTCTTGGGATGATCTTCTGCGTCTTGGAGCGTCCTTTGGGCGTCTCGGGGGCCTCTTGGGCAGTCTTGGGGGCCTCTTGGGGCCCTCTTGGCGCGCTCTGGGGGGCCTGAGAGGCCGTACCCAGGAGGAAAACCATCTCTGAGTAGACCTTCCCGGGACCTTCCTGGGACCTTCCCGGGATCTTCCGGGGACCTTCCCAGGATCTTCCAGGGCTGCGGTCGGGTTACTTTTCGCCAGGGGACCCCCAGCAGGGGCCGCCCCGCGCGCCCGAACTAGAAGAATTGTGAACCAGTTGCCGGAGATCTTAGCACGCCTCTGGCCCGTTGGGCCGGCAAATTGAATCGCTTCGCTCACTCCGCCAGCCCATGTTGCGCACCGCGGTCGACTGGCCGAGTGGTCGTCGGCAGTGCGCCTCTGGGGGGCTTCTTGTGGGCCTCGTGGGGGTCTCTTGGGGCCTCTCGGGGGCATCTCGGAGGCCTCTTGGGGCCACTCCGGAGCCTCTTGAGGGCTTCTTGGGGGTTTCTTGGGGGCCTCCATGGGGCCTCTCTGCGCGTAGAGCTCGACATGTCCGTTCGGGTCCCCTGGCTGGGCCCGCTCTTGGAGCCGTCTTGGGGGCCTCTTCGGCCTCTTGGAGGCCTTCGGGGCTGTTTTGGGGCCCTCTGGGGCCGTTTTGGGCGCTCTTGGAGGCCTCTTGGGCTGTGCTGGGGCGATCCTGGAAGCCTCTTGGGCCGTCTTGGAGCGCTGGTGAGCTCCCAAGGCGAGAACGCCAAAAACCTTCAAACGCCATAGCAAAATCAATAAGTTCTGCCTCTGTGGGCCCTCTTGGGAGGTCTCTTGGAGGCCTCTGTGGGCGTCTTGCAGGCGCTTTGGGCTATCTGGAGGCCATCTTTGGCGTCTTGGATCTCTCTTGGGCCGTCTCGGGCCATGTTGAGCTCTCTTGGAGGCCACGTGAAGCGCTCCTGGAACGCTATTGGGAGCCTGCTGGGACCTGGCCTGGACCTGTTCGGGACCTGCCCAGGATCTTGCCGGGACCTTGCCTGGACTTGCCCGGACCTTGCCGGGATTTGCCAGGACTTTGCCAGGATTTGCCGGGACCTTGCCGGGACCTTGCCGGGGTATTCGTCCGGGGACCCCCCGGGGTGGCCCCGCGCGCGCGAACTAGAATATTGTTAACCAGCCCCCGGAGATTTTAGCACGCCCTTGCCGTTGGGCCAGCGAAGTTTGCCTCTATTGTTGGGCGGGCTGGGTAATGTTTGGGTTTGATTTTCCGGCGGAATAATCCGTTGTGGTCTACCTTGCACGCGGGAGGATTTGTGAGAATATTTTCATGTGGGTTGCAATAGGAATTGCTTCGTTTTCATTTGCGAGTTTGCTCAAAGTCGTTTGCCTGGCAGTGCTGGCAGAATTCCTTGTGGCGCCTGGTCGGCGCGCGCGTCGACGTGAGATTGGTTTTCTTCTGTTGTTGGGCGGGATGGGTAATGTTTGGAGGCTCTTCATCCAACTGAGTACTACATTGTGGGCCAGCCTGCGCGCGGGAGGATTTGCGAGCATCTTCTCATGCTGAATGCAATACGACTGTGTTTCATTTTGCTTCGCGAGTTTGCTCAAATTCGCCTGCCTAGCGCTGTCGGTGGAACTCCTGCTGGCGCCTCGTCGGCGCGCGCGGCGACGTGGATTTAGTTTCCTGCTATTGTGGGGTAGCCTGCAAGTGGGAGGATGTGTGAGTATCTCCTCACGATGATTGCAATAGGAGTTGCTTCGATGTCATGTGCCAGTTTTTTCAAAATCGTTTGCCAAGCAGTGCTGGCAGAACTTCTTGTGGCGGCTGGTCGGCGCGTGCGGCCGCGCGGGATTGGTTTTCCTCTGTTGGGTGGGCTAAGTAATCTTGAGGGGGTACTTCCCCAGCGGGATAATACATTGTTGGCTACCCTGCACGCGGGAGGATTTGTGAGCATCTTCTCATGAGCATTGCAATGGGAGTTGCTTCGTATTGATTCGCGATTCTGCTCAAACTCGTCTGAATAGCACTGCTGGCAAAAATCCTGCTGGCGCCTTGTCGGCGCGCGCGGCGACGAGTGATGAGTTTCCTTCTATTGTTGGTCGAGCTGGGTAACGTGTGGGGGGTACTTCCCCAACAAATAATGGATTGTGGGCTTCCCTTGCGCGCGTGAGGATTTGTAAGCATCTTCTCATGACGTTTGCAATCGGAATTGATTCGTTTTGATATGCGAGTTTGCTCAATGTCGCCTTCCTAGCAATACGGGCAAGTGTCCTGGTGGCGCCTGGGCGGCGCGCGCGGCCGACATGGCGACATTTCCAGTGTGTACAATACAGCAAAACATAGTGCGGCATAGTTTTGCATTATCCACGCGAGTGAGGATTGAATTTCGGAGGGCCCGAGGGGGGCCTCAGCTTAAATAGTTTTTCTCGATCTGGAGTTTCCGAAATAAAGCTTCTCAGTGCCAAGTGTTGGACCCACGGTTTTCCTGAGAGCGCTGCCGGCGGGCGCCACAGGGAAACAATCGAATTGATCCTTTTATTCGTGGGATACCAGTCCTTCAATAAGGCCGCCGAACCGATAATTCATTTCACTTGTTGGGGGGTGACTTAAGACCTCTCAGGCTTCCTCTCAGGGTTACTCTCTTGGGTCTCAGCCCGCCCAGCTGGCAGGCTGTTCTTTCCCCTGGGCCGCTAGCCGTCAGGAGCGCGGGGCGGAGCGCGGTGCGGCTCGCGAGGCGGGCCGTCGCGAAGCCCGCCGCGGGGCGGGGCGCGGGGCAGCATCTCGCGCCGGGTCGCGGGGCGATGGCAGCAGCAGCAACAATTGTGACGAAGCGCTGGTCGCTCGTCGTTCGCATCGCCTCAGCTCGGCGCGCCACGAGGGAGTCCGTGGCCCCGACATTGGCGCAGGCGTGGGCCGACGTGCCTGGCGCCGCACGGGAGAGGGAAATGCGACCAGGCGGGCCACGTGCGTACCTCATCCGTACGGCTTCTGGTTTGTACCGGCTGCGGGGCTTCGCGCCCTTCGGCCCCCTCGAGTATGGCTCCAGTTCGTGTCGTCTCCTTTTGCGCTCCTTCGGCCACGCGCAGGGGGCGGCAGGGGGAGGGGAAGGCTTTTTAGAAGCACCCCTGCTTCTTCGAAGGCCCTGGCCTTATCTGTAAATGTATGGCCGGCGCCTTCTAAGAAGCAGCCTCCTTCTAGGGAGCCTTCCCCCCTCCCCGTCCCCCCCTCTTTGCGCGCCGACAACTCCCGGCCTCCCGCGCTGCACAGAATGACGAGTGACCATTCCATTTGGTGGTCGCGCCCTCTCCTCCCGTCACGGCGGGATGCCTGCGTGCATCGGGGGGCCGACTTCCCCTCGCCCGGTGCCTCCCGCCCAGGGAGGCCGAACCAACACCCCGCCGCAGGGCACGTGGGCAGGAGCAGCAGCCAGCGCCCGCCCGGCGGCGACTCGCCTCTGCCACGGACCCGTGGACATGGTGAGTCGCAAGGGCGCCAAAAACGCCCCTACCCTGGTTTACGAGGCGCTGTGCGCTGAGCCTCCTGTGGGCTCACAGGACAAACCCTGCGTGATGTGCGGCGTCCTGGCGGCTTTCTAGGCCCTGGGACTTCCCAGGAGCTTTACAGACCACGCACTGGTAACCCAGGGTAGGGCCGTCTTTTCGTCCCCTCAGTAAGACCGCTCGGCCCCCTCACTCCGGTGTCGAGTATTCTCCTTGGCACGTTGCCTTCGACATGACTCCACGGTGGCATCGCGACTGCATCCGTCGCAGAACGAGAAGTGCGATCGACAGTAAGCTGTGTGCGAATGTTGGAGTGTTCGTTCATTCATCGATGGAGATCCGCGTGCGTTGTAACGCAATTGCCTTGCTGCACATATTGGCTCGATCTGAAGCAAACTGGTGCAGATGCTCCCCACGGCTGGCATGTTTAGAAGTGCCGAAAAGGAGAAGAAGGAGAAAAAGGATAAGAAGGACA